CCCCCCCCCCAAATATAGTAAGGCTCTACTGCCCATTTATTTTAAGGGACATAGAAAAGACTGAATCAAATACCTTTTTCCTCACTTCCGATCTGACAACCTATCCCTTGACAAAACCAGCATTAGAGCCTTAATATGGGGGTGGGGGGTGGTGCCGTACCAAAAAGGGGATTTTTACAAGCTGATTGGAGTTCTTCCTTATAGTGCATTTCCACTTTTGCAGTCAAATTTGAGAACCCCCCTCCCTATATGTTGTTTATGTGCCCATTCACACAGCATACCGAAAAATATTTTTCTAAAAAATATTTCTTACCTTTTTTAGATGTTTCGATGTTGCATTTGCATGCTCCTTTCTCATTCCGTGAGTGGAAACTCTGTCTGTCTCCATAGAAAGACCAGGGGCAGGCTGAGGTTCCTCTCATAACATACAATGCTTCTAAGTCTTTAACCCTTTGTTAGCGCAGAGTGTTCATATCTAGTTTTTAACTGATCATGAGATCTGGCAGCACATTACAGACAGGGTTCATTATCTTAAAGGAGAACTATGACATGAGTGATTTCCACTCACCTCATAGTTCTAATTAGATTAAACTACAGAAACAACATGTATATTTTGAATTTGAAAGGGAATCCCAATGTTAGGGCAATATGAATGTTAACAGGTAACAGTTTTCTAATGCCAGCATCTTTCATTAAAACAAAAGGTATCTTGTCTTTCTGAGATAAAAGTATTTTAATGACAGTTCAGCGTCCCCCGGAAGTCTGTGGACACCTCTCATCTATTAATACAAAGTGTAGCCAAGATGCGCTGTTTTTCATGCATTGTTTTAATACTAATTCAAATGTACAAATACAGATTGTAACAGCGCAGTGATATTTTGACGTGCTCAGAATTCTCAGTATTCTGACTAATGGAGGTGTGCCCCCACGGCTGGCACCGAGTGTGATTGGCACGGGTCAGGCAGGAAGGTCCATTGTGATTGATTAACCGCAGTGCCCAACAAGCTGGCTGGTGCTGAGCTGTCAGATTACTCTGAAATGACCAGACCTGACAACGTCTCAGCTGCTCTCCAGCCAGACCTGTCACCCCGTCATAAATCCATTCTAGACAATCCATTCTAGACGATTCATAAAATGTGTTTTTAATGGAGTGTGTCAAGAGGAGGAATTAGATGGAACAGTGAAACAATAAAACTGTGTGCCCGCCACCTGCATATAACAAAGGCAGCCAGCGTCGATCATAAACAAATGGGGCAGAGTACAGAAGTTGGTGATTTAAAGAGCAACTGTAATGGACCTGTAAATTGTGTATATTATACAGGAACCGTTCCAAGTATCTGCAACACCTGCTGTGGCCCCTGATGGGTGAAGATTTTTTTAGGTAGCAAAAGTCCTGTGTAGTTCAACTAGATAGGACTCTATCACCCAGCTTCCTTTTACGGGCTCCTCAGTGTCA